GCGTAGAGAATATAAATTATTCACAATTAGGCATTTTACCATTGTTTAATGGACCATCCCGCATTAATCTTCCCATGGCTTATAGTGGTAATGACGTCAAGCTAAATGTTATATTAAAAAGGGTATTGATTGATTGATTGGTTTTACGTCCGCTTTACTACCGAGTAGCTCGGTTATCCAGCAGAAATAAGTGTATTCACGGTAAGTAAATACATATGATAATTTCCTTGTCGTTTTACACACCCATCGTTCCATTTAATAGATATAATGTGCAATCGATCTAACTCACAAGTGTATATTACAAATGCGTGAAATCCAATAACACGTAATAAGTTATCTCTGAAGTTTTCTCATGTTTGTACGACGTTTACATGGGTCTTCAAACACCTTAAGATGTTATATCTATGAAGTACCCCCACTGGTGTTAACGCTATCAAACATCCCCGTTTATATGAGTTGCTCCTTTTGTTGATTTACAAGATCTATGCTTTAAGGAGGGATATAAAGTGGGAGGGGGAGGGGTCATGTAAATCTACGTAATACGCTATTACGGACTTTATATCGACAATATTAGAACGGAGGAGGGAGCGGAAAGATGTACTGATTCCCTTTTAAAAGGAAATACAAGAGATATTTTCAATTCATCGGGATTATAACAAAAGGAAAAAACCCAATAACATTAGTTAATATCCTAAAAGGTTGTGAACAATACTAGCAATATCCTTCGAAGAAGTAGCTTAATCCTCAGATACAAGTACTGGCATACATATGTAATATTATTCAAAGTTACTTACTGTTATATAACATGTCCCCGGTGGGTACATAAAGTGGATTTCATCGACGTATTGCGACTCTTATAGTAAAAATCCTACAGAAGACGTTAAACAATTACTGTAGTCATAGTAGCAACTTGTTGAAGCAAACAGAACTTTTGTTTTCATAAAACGGTTAAATGAAACTGGCGTTAGACTAAATTTATTGGATATGTATTGAAGTTTTTGACTAAAAATTGTGTCTAAGATATTTGAAATAAAGCATGTTTATAATTCAAAATAATGTTATGAAATTCACTGGGTGTATTTTTACATTACTCAAATTGTACAGAATTGTTAATGTTTTATTAAAAAGTTTATTTATATCCGATCCAATTCTTTTATGCTATTACAATGGTTTAAATTCAATTCAGCACTTGTTATAATGTAAATCGATAAATAACCACGAGATGTAATTTAAGACAAATTGAAATAATATACATGGTTTTTCTAGTTTAGATGGGCTATCGACGATCGACGTCTAGATGTTAAATTAAAACAATATATCTTGTTTCGTAATGTTACTACTCTTGTCAATCAGTTTTAAATGTCTCGGTTTCAAATATATATGACATCATATCCGGATATATTGAATAATATTCTCATTATGTATCATACATATGAATTAACTATTACATCTACATTTGTGAATTTAAAACCAGGATAAAGTAAAACACGGGCATACAATGTTCCGATAAACAAACCTTAAAGGCAACTGTATCGCAATAGATCAACATAACACGTTTATTAAACATGAACACTGCTCAGTCGGAAACACAATATTAACTGCAGACACATACTTTTATCACAGTGGCATGCGTACATGACTTTACAGTGACATATATATGCAGTGTATCACACTTAAGTGACATTCCTATAACATCAAACTACAGTTTCGTTATTATGTCGTTACATATATCACATAACTTAGAAAGCGTTCCGTATATCATATATCATTATTTTAAGTAATCAGGTTACAAATAATCTTTATCACATTTACTGCAACATTTATAATTACAGATGTCAAAATGTTGGTTAACATTTTTACTCTCCTTTTAATGTCTAAAACGAATCGTGGACGACATTAATAGATGAAGTCCGACAATTCCCAACTGGCTATTAAGAATTCTTCTGTGACGTATACTAAACAATCCTGTTATTCCAGCATTATTTTCGTTATTCTGTTTAAAATCTATGTATCTAAGATAGCTTGTTTAAATATTATAAATGTATTGGTGAAGATATACTTACTAATTGTAAGGGGAAGATAGCCTTTAGCACGTCTTATCATCCGGGTAACAAGTAGACACGTATAATCGCGCACTTCTCACCAAGAATATCCTTACGTGTACTTAAGTCACAGATAGCCTCTGCTGATCCGAGGACAATCACTCGCCAATTACGTACCTGTCTGCAGTAAATAAATACAGGTAGCACGCAGCTACCAAAGGAAACCAGATACGACAGGGCTTACTCAGCTTAACCTGAGATGTTTGGTCAGGATATACCAAACCTAGTAATTATACTTGTCCTTTATCTTATTTTATTTATTCGACATCTAACCTTACCTATATTTTTCCATGTGAGTTTTACAGCCGAAGCGTGATAACGAATCTTTAGGAAGAATTGGCCAAGGAACATAACACGCAGTCTAACAACGCTTTAGATATATAATCACTTCTCTATACAGACCAGTATACCTGGAATTACTTCGGAATAATTAAATGCCGCGTGATATTGTATCACTTCACAGGTTTCATCCTGCTAAGGTATACATCTTATTTTTGTTTATTTGATATCTTACAGAGATTTAATCGCTTGTTGAGCATTATATTTATGGAGGAGTACACTGTGAAAATAGGGACCGAAATAACTAAAGGGTTGTTTTCCATACAACTTAAGTATACGGCCCGTGAAAATGTCCCGTTGTACAATGTAATATAAGTGCCACTCTCTGTATGTAAGATAAACAAAATGTCTTTGACAAGGATTATAATATATGTGTGTAAATTGACTATTAAATACATATACAGGTTCAACGCAACACACAGATCAGGCCAGTAAAGCGTCAGTATGCTTTCATCATTACCGTTCTATTGAAAGGTGGGTAGGAATGAGTTATGACTATTGCAAATATAGCATTAATTAAAAGGTATTGAATTCAACTGATATTCATAAATGAAAAGAATGAGTGGGAATGTATAATTTGCTGAAAATAAATAAAATTATATTTTGAGAATAATATAATATAAAAGAGATGTATGTATGCCTCCCTTTATCGTAAAGCGCGTTTGAAATATGAGAAGCAACGTTTACCGCAGTAGGAGATATTCTATAATTGATAATTATGAGGTTTTACAACCCACAAGTACATGTACGTATCAGACGAATGTGCATTGTACCACTACGTCAAAGAACAATACCCCCGCCCCGCCCAATAATAGTACCCAGCAGTGACCATCTTGTATTGATATAGCCATTCAATACGCCTTTATTTATAGTTGGAAACATAATAATGTCATTGAAATGTAATATCTCGTATTAAGAGTAAATAATTGATTTATACATTGATTACAGATATACCCTCCTGTGCTTTTTAATTAAAACTAGTCTAAATATTATTTGTTGTAACAACTATTCACGCAAATTGATATCCGAAGCCCTGTTTCAAAATTTCAGCTAAAAATATAATAGGCTTTATTTATTTATTTGTCTGAATAGTTGAGGTACGTAACGAGAAATCGTTACAATAATTTGATTAAATTAAATTAATCTTGACAGCAACCACGTTTGATCAGTCCCTCGTCTATTTTCAGTCTATACTATTAACGGCTAAATTGAACAATGAATAACAATCTGCCGTTCCTGTGCTGACATGCCTACCTTTATTTTGAAATCGTACAGTGAATAGTTCGTATTATATGTTTCTATAGAATCACTTAAGATTTGCATGCTTCAGTGAAAGTTACAGTTCAGTTCTATTTCACACATCAATACTACCTGATTGATCAGTGAGATCTAGTATTAACAGGGTGCGAGTTTGTGACGTGCATGTTACATCAGGTACATTATGATGTGATATATCTTATCTGATCTTTTTGCTTTTAAACAGAACTCCACAAATACTCCTAATTACATATAAGGATACACGTCCATCATCATCATCATTATTCTATTAGCTGGTAGAACATCCAGATATTTGTCTTTTCAGCCGATCCTACAAATCTAAGTTGGATTGACTAAACAGACAAATATCCTGATGCCATCACTCCCCATTTTCTTACTACAATAAATTCAAAATAGGAAATGTGAAGTAAACACAAACAACTTATTTCCAGCAACTAATATAATAATTATGTTTTTAAGACCATTTCTAACATCATTGTATGCACTCGATATCCATTCTTCAATATACATAACAATTCTAAAATTATTTGTGATTTCGTCTTTTTCCCCTATAGTCTCTCCTCTTGATATTTACAAAAGTCATATCGATACATTTGTAGAGTTACCAAAGTACATATCGTGCTATCACAATGTCTTATTCTACAGATAAGGAACATCCAGTCTCATACACTAGATTGTCTTTGTATTATATAACAGTGGAAAACATTAAATAATTAATACATACAGAAACACCTGCTTCTTTGATAAGTGTGTAGAGATATTACTATTGACACATACAGGAAATGAATTTACGTAAAAGGTGGGTGAGACAGTAGCAGCACAGGACAGGTGAGATAGGGAATACGCCACACTGATATTCACAGGCAGATGAGACGGTCCATTGATGTTGCTCGACAGGGACAGCTGAGATAGGGGATGCTGCACGCTACTATTGACAGACAGATGAAACAATAAAAGCATGTTACTGTATACGTAGATGGACGATTGAAATCGTGTACGAGACACATTTATATACACAAACAGATGAGACAGTCAAACACGCTACTTTACATGGAGAGATGAGACATTGGATAAGACACTATTAATATGTCAAGACAGCATAGACGGTAACAACACCAGACTTGTTGTGCATAACCTATTGAGGTAGTGGATAAGATACACTGACAAATATACATTAATGTCTATTCTGAGAAATTGATAATTAGGAAAGAATGGATAAAGACAATTGATATACATATTTTATATAATAAATTATCCTGTTATAATGTAACAAATAATTACCTTGTTGGTGACCTCGCCGACCAGTCCAAGCTTGAGTATTTCTATGCAGTGAGTCGAATTTTATACCCCAGCTGTCCATGTGTAAAACAAATACATCTAGAATCCAATATTAACGTATTGTCGTCAATCACAATGTAACCGTGCTGAACAATCGGCGATAGCAATAACATCAAGGTGTCTTCAACACATTGTGAAATGAAAAAGCGAAAATTGAAAATATTGCAACACTGACAATGTATTATCCAGCGGATCAAACATGACTTAACATTCCACAGACACGATGAGACAACACTATGTCAGTCCTTTTATTGATAGCGGGAAATGACTCTGGTAGTGGTAGGGCTGCTCCTTCACACGCCCATGACAATACATGTGCCTGTTGTGCTTAACTCCAAAGCAAACCCCAGCCTACTGCGACATGAATTCTTATAACACCTAGTACACGTAGGTAAAGCAAAAACAATTAAGTCAATATATTGGATAGTATCGACTCCCAAGTTGATAAATAACATTCGAGGATTATCGAGGGTTATATGACAGCTTTCTATGTCATACCCGATAACTTAACAAATGTTTTAATAGGTGTCCGCAGCAAGTTGTTGAGGCGTAAGAAGGAAAAGAACCTGCTGTAGTCCACTGTCTGAATCCAAAATACAACTTAGATGGAACTTCAAGTTGATAATGTCTGTCCTTCTTTAACAAACACACAAGAGATCAATGTCTTGATCTTAAACCCCCTTGCTAATATTCAGTTTTGAATGTGTCTCTCTTAGCACGTCTGGCTAGGTCGTTGTCAGAATATTGTGACTGGATGAAGGAACTTGATGCCATATTATGTTTGTGAAATTGAAGTAAAAGAATCTCTGACGTTGCCTTTCAACGGCCCCACATATTATGACCCTAGATGTTGATAATAATAATAATAATAATATACATCATTTGATATAGCGCCCTATCTAGCTAACATAAGACACTCTAAAGTGCTTTACAGTACATTCAATAATTCGCAGGAGCTGCCTTATCAGGCGCTATCTGCTAGTCCTATGCCACCTGGCTAATATCTCCCTATGTGTGTATGCCTGCGTGTGTGCTGGAAATGCAATGTGATAGGATCAAGCATCCTTCAAAGAAGAACCATTCTCCCGATTCAAGATATTTTCATGGGTATGTTTCTGTGGTCTCATTATAAGGAACACGCCACATGCACGATACATAAGCACCTATTTGTGGTATGATGTGGTATGACGCGACACATCAATGTAAATCATATGTAATACCAGAAATGTTCCTTTTCATCTCGACGTCTAAACCTATACATTTTTGATTGCAACACGTATAGCTGTCGAGAACAACCCTAAATGAACATCAAGGGAACCTAATTCATTTTCGTCTTTTAGTTTTCAAATTCGACGAATTCGGAACACTTGCGGTTTCAAAAAAACACCAAAGTAATTGTTTAAGTTTTAAATATGCTGTTTTTACATGTAATTACTATAAAACCTTTCAGATTAATAGCTGCGCCTAATCTGAACTTAATATATGCCAATGGTAAAATGAAAACGAACACTAGATACATAATGGACTGTGACCTCTCTCTCTCTCTCTCTCTCTAATATTTAGGTTTCCGACTCAATGTTGTCCTAGCTGTGACACACTAAAACCTCTTGATGTTCTGTGTTTAAAATAGGTGATTAAGCACAGAGCCAACGTGATTAAAAGATGAACATAAAACAAACATCGTATTTCGTCACTGTTAAAACGTTTACTTTTCCGATACAACGTTTTAAAAAATATTTCGTTTAAAGTCTTCCGTAGATAAGTTGTGAATATATAGATACCCGGTTTTATTAGATTTTACCTGGCACGTACATCACAAAGGGTCAGATAGAAAACACCTGAAGACATTTATAATACAATTGATCACACGTGCTTATATCACCTATCTCTCACTAAATACAAGGGACTTAGGCTGAACGAGATTTTACGAGTCACTGCTATAACTGTCCACGACATACGTACGTACAATCGTGTATATAGGACATATACTAGTAACAACTATAATCCTAGTATACAGCACTGCATAAAGAACACTGACACAATTATAACTAATAGTATGTAATGTTGGGTATAGACCACATGGAAGTTGTTACCTTATACCATATACTGGTGGGGGTATAGAACACATGGAAGTTGTTACCTTATACCATATACTGGTGGATAAACGATTCTTACAAACTGTAACTATAGTCTTATAATATAGATCAATTTTAAACGTTTCACCTCCAGGAGAAGTGAAGAAAAACAAATCGGTGTTGATTTTTTTTTAATTCTTGCATTCATATTTGGTTATGTAGTCCAATTATTTCAAAACAAAATTCTAAATAGGCATTAGCACAAAGCGGACATTCTCTCTCTCCGGTGAAAGCTAATTGGAAATCGTGCAAAACTGGTTGAATTCTAAGGACAAAATTGTTTTTTTGTATCATAATAAACGGATTCTGGTTCATGTTGTTTATCAGTTTGTGAATTGTTTTTCTTCAAAACAAAAGCGCAGCTTCCTTCTTCTGGACACAAAGGAAAGATTCAACGTAATGATAGTGTTAACAACCTTTGTATAGTACTATAGTATGTTTAATAAAGTCTATTATCTGCTTATCATTCTTTGTGTTCTACTCAATATACATGTATATGTATAAACATTCTCATGTAACCTAATTCCCCTTTCTATTCTGGAATTACTTCCTTCAAAATAAACGATGTTATGAACCCAATGTTAGTTTGTACATTGTATTGATGTGAGTGATGGTTTAAGGATGTGATAGTGTAAGTTAGGGGTTATTTTATCTGTTAATGTTCATAATAGGCTGGTAGGTTTGTGTTGGTGTTAACTATAAATAGTAATAGGTAAGTGGATTAAGTAGGCGGTAAATGGCGAAGTAAACAGATAAATCTGTATATGCACTTTTTGATATAGATTGAACATAATGGAAGGTTTTTCATTGATATCCATAGAAAATGCTTCACCATATTTACTTCTGTTTCCTGAAAGGCAAAAGCGCACCCTTTGGATAAATTAAAATCTTTAAACGGGATCTTCATCGATTTATTTTTCTCAATGTTTGTATTTCAACGAAATATACTGACAGACCCCAACGACACAATGTTGTTATTGAACACGTTTGAAAAGCCTTTATTCAAAAGGAGGTACGATTTCAATGGCTGTATGGAGAACTATAATAGACATTTAGCGTCACGTGCTTACCAGTATATGTTGCAATTCTGAAGCTGTTCTAGGCAATTAACATTCTAGTTATAATTGTGTTCTTCTCGCCGTCTTTCTCCTTTATCTGACTTCCATAACCAGAGTTGTGTTTTGTAAGTCGCATCAATTTTAGACCAGTTGACGGTCCTTTTCTTTTTAACGCTGCTGTCGGGTAATACATAGAGGCTAAGAATAGAAATACACAAGCAAATTCGTGGAATTTATATCCCCCGCTTGCACGACATATTGTAGCTAGGTAACATTATTGAGGTTAGGTTTAAACATGTGAGTATCGACCTGTTGAGACATAATGTATAGCTTGAAACTTAAAGAAGAAAAAACAACCTATACTTCCTTGATTATCCGTAAATACGCACAAATCACATCGATTGGAAAACTTAGCATGAGTCGGATGTGCATATGGAATTTTGTTGAAAGATCTGATCAATATCTACAGCAATAATCACACAAAAACCGAAGAGGGTACGAGATAGGTGGAAAGACAGGAGTACAAATCATTGCAGATAATGACGTTATTCAAGGGGCTATAACTCCGCCAAATAAAGTCCCCTGAAAGTGGTCATCGAACTCAGCCGAGCCCCTTAGGCATTCAACCCTGTGACAAAGTTTGAAGAAAATCGGTTAACATTTGTTGTAGTGATTGCACGGAAACGAAACGCTGCATATAATGACGTTTTTCGTTATTCAAGGGGCCATAACTCCGCCAAATGAGGTTCGCTGAAAGTGGTCATTAAATTTGGCCGAGCACTGAGGGCATTTAACCATGTGAGCAAGTTTGGAGAAAATCTGCTTCATTTGTTGTAGTTATTGCACGGAAACGAAGCGTGACAGACAGACAGACAGACAGTCAGAGAGGCGGACAAACCCAAATTAACATCACCCGTTTCGGTGATAGCGGGGGATAAAACAAGTAACCAGGGTAACAAATTGGAGAATATCAGAGCAGTTTCTGCTATATACATTGATTAAGAAGATTTGGATAAACATGACATTTATCATTTCTTTCTTTGGAAAAAAATTCTCTCCGAGCCATGTCTTAGATATATATAATTTTAAGAGTGTTGATTTAGTAGAGTTAAGATGAAAATAGATATATGACATAGCTCATTTGTACTCTCTACCACGTGTAATTACATTAGTATTGCAGGGAACCATAAGAAGTCACATATCAAACATTTCGACTTGATATAGGAGATAGGAAGGTGCTTCGTGTCTCGCGTATATGACTCGTATCGCGGACCATTATTATCTAATCACTTCCAAACCCCATTTCATTCCATTGGTATTGAATAGAGACAACTTGTTTGACTTGTATGTGGTATTCATAGAATAATTAGACAGTTTTATGTTTAGGGCTCTGGAGTCTCAATGGCTTTAAAATCAAAAGAGCTATGTGTATTAATGAAACGTTATATCAGGACAAACATCATAGCACTGCCCGAACCACTATGTCGGTATGCCTCTGTGGATTGACTTCCAATTTGTGATATCATAATGATGTTTGCATTAAACTGCTGAAATAATATGTTGACATGTCTATAGGGATGTTTCGAAAATGGTAGCCAGTTGTCTCTTGTCTGACAGACATGGATGTAAATACCGAGAAACAATCATAAACATACTGTTTTTTCCAGAACGTTGTATGCCTGAAATATGTTCATAGTTTTTACTACTGATATACGCAGTTAGTCCGATTTTCAAAATTCCACAAATACACTGTCCTCAATGAGTTTCAGAAATTTGATAAACTCCCATCTCACTTTACATATGCAGCGCAATATATATAATGCTCGAGAACAAAGTAGCTTGATATATTTGCGTTTTTCATTATCGGTAGGCACTAGATTAAAAATCTGTCGTTCCTGGATTCGACTCCAGGTGGAAGCACTATTATGCCAACGTGTACTCACAGGGACAAACATCCGCACTGTCACCCTTACTCTAGGGTCACCTAATGCCACCCCTACAATACATATTGTTTACAGTGAACTGAAATAAGACCATCTCATCTTGATTGTGGTGTATATTCTTTTCCAGAATAAGGTTCTATTCTTATCTTAAGAATGTAATTTATCTCGTAATTCATGAATATTTAAATGAA